ATAAGACGATTGAAGAAACAGTAGGACACTTACAAGAACACCAGTGATGTCCTTCCCCACTGAAATTTTGATTGAAGGAAACATTCTATGCCCAGTGTTGAAAGGACTGATCAAGATAAAAAGCCCAGGGACAGTTCTGGCCAAGGAGCTTCTCCATCTCTCCTTACAGGGTTTGGTTTTTGGCAGAAAGAGAAAAGGCAGCAGCGCAACAACATGGGAGGAGCACAAGTTGAAGATGGCAATGTCTGGATCCTCCACAGAATCCTATGAATGAGGCAAGACAATCAACTCCTTGTCTAGAAGGAAGTGGGCAGCTAAAGAATTTCCCTTTAGCTCTTCCCTCGTCCTTCCTTTGCCTCTTTTCTGGCAGATACAAACTGCTCAGAAGACAACCTGACTTGGGGTGGGTCAGGGAAGGATGATTTGGCTCTGTTCAGGAAGACAGCGGAACATGATGACTCTATTTGCACAGCCATGAGCAATTATGTGACTCAAACCAAACTTCACATTAAAAGTTTGTGAATGACAATGTCTCACAAGTTTAAAACCACGGATTAATTGCTGGGTAGTTTTGCCTCTACATAACCCTGTGGTCTGGGTTCACACATCACATTGCGAAGCACAGAAATGATGAAGGATCCAATTGTGGCTTCTGTGGTAAAGTGGAAGAGGTCTGGTGTGCTGTTGGCAGTGTTTCTGCTTGTACACAACAACCCATGGGTATTTAAATTGCTGGGTCATCTTTGTGTGAACCCAGTCCCTGCTTACTTGTTAGCTAATATCATCTTCAAGGACAACCATGGAGGAAGATTTTACACCAGGGGTGAGCAGAAAGCGGACCCAGACCTACCAGGAGATGTCTGGATGAATTGCTGACCGCCCAGCTTTCAGACTCTGGCACCGTGTAACAATGGAACTCTATTCCAGCAGGCCAGGTTTCCTTAGGACTCATGGCAAAGCTTGTAAGCCTCCAGTAAATCAACTGCCTTGGCAGAAGCTACTGGTATGTTCCCATGTTCAAGTCTGAGGGTTTGAACCTACACAAAGTCCACGTCCAGTGACAGAATCCAAATCAGGACCAGTGGCTTAACAGCAGGAACAAAATGAGGCTCTGTTCGCCAACCAGTTTTACTGCTGAATTGAAGGAAGCTGTGCTTGCATTCAGGAGCGGAGTTTCAATGAAATTGCAAGTTCCATTCTAGTGCACAAAAACATCTTTTGCTTTTGACTCCAGTGGATTTCAAGTTGCTAGAAGAAAAGCCAAGACGACTCCAGAATCCATGAATGCTGCCCCGTGAGACGAGTTGGGCCACCGCCACTGAGATAACAGTGGTCTGCAAGGAGAAAGCCTCCAAAATGAAAGTAACTAAATTTTACCAGAATTGGGTCACTAATAAAGAAAATTTAAGTCCTGACTATTAATTGGGTCCACTTTCCAAGATCAGGTCAAAATTGCATTAAAATAATTCAAAATTACAAGGGGGATGTGAAATTATGCTCCATAACTTACCTGCAAAATGTGATATAGCAATGAGAGTGGTCATTTAGTTCACTCTGTGAAATCAGATGTGGTTCAGGAGGAACATACAGTGGGCTGAAGTTTGGGTCTGCTGACATCGATGGCCCTGGATCAGCTGCATCCTGCCCATCATCTTTATCATCATCCGAGTATAGAGAGTAGAATTCTGGAATTGGCAAGTCCACACCATGGGGTACAGGACGCACTGCGGATGGAATGTCTGGATATTCCACGGGCCACTTCTTTCTTAAGAACCCTTTTGCAACTGGGGGAACCATGCAAAAATGGAAGTTGCTACTATGATTGGTTGGTTCCCTCCACACCACTGGGACTGCGAAAGGCATGGACTTTTTCTTCTTGTTTAGCCAATGACGCAGATAAGTTGCACATGTAATGCAACAAGAATGAGGGGCCCAACTCTTGTCCTGATCCCCTAATTTGCACCCAAAATACAGGCGGGATGCCTTTTTTACCACTGCCGTCATTCTGCACTTTTGAGATGCAAATGTAACCTCAGCACAAGTGCAGCAGAAGTAATCTGCGCTTTTTACACAGTTTTGAGGCATCTTGGCTTCCAAGGGAAAATATCACACAACTGTTCCTTTCACAAGCCTCCAGAATGAACTCTAAGATGCGTAGATCAGACCGAGACAAATGTACCTTGCAATAAAAGAAGAATAAATTACAGTTAGGTAATAATGAGTTTCAATGTGAAGATAAATCTATACACTTCCACATGGTACCATTTTCATTGTTCTACCATACTTTGTTGAGAAGTTACGAAGCATCATGATCATCAGACACCTCCCTCCCTTGCAGGCAGATATACTTGCCTGGGTCTAAATCCTTATTGTGAAATATTTTGAAAACTTTAGCCAACCAGCACCTTTATCACCTGCTTCCTAATTCAGCTAATCAAAATATGTAAGAATTAGCACATTTTATCTTGGAGGCTGATAATTTCCCAAAATTTGCAGACCAGTGTAACCAGTGAAGACCACGAACTATTTCTGAAGATAATTAACTTTGCTCCTCAGGGTTTCTTCCGCCCCTTTGCTGGAGTTGCATACAAGTCTGGCTGAATTGGGCAGATTGGCTTTGCTCATCAGGCAGCTGTTTTCATACCTTTCCGGAACACGGCATTTCGAACACAGCGATTCGGGTTTTGCACCGTGTAAATGATTCATGGCTTTGCCTGATTAATGGCAAAACAATGTTGCTTGTGCTGTAAGGTCACTGAGCCACGCACACTCCCACTTGCATTGTGAACGCATGCCTATCACAAAGTACAGAAAATATTTCTCTTGACAACTCTGTGCCTTCACAGCTCGGTCCACACACCCACTGCTGCTAAGGACCGGCTTGTTTTTTCACCCTTTCTCCATCAGTGACCCCAGGCGAACGCCACTCCCAGCTCCCAACCGTGCCCCCAGCTGACAGACACGGCCTCCCATCCTGTTGGGTACAAAGGAAAGCAGACGCTGAACAGTCTCCCTTAGACAGAGCCAGCCGGTTGCTTTGCCCCATTTTGGTGCATTTTATTCTGACTAGCAGAAGCTCTTCATGTAAAACAAGAACTTTACCATGGAGCTTTAACTCTCCTCCAAGTGACTCTGCAAAAATTCAGACATGGAGGTGATGGAGGGTTGTCCACTCAAATCCCATCACACGGTACACTTATTTGGAGTGCAATCCCAGCCAGCTATAGCCCATTTTTCTGTCTAAATATGCTTAGGATTGTATCCTTCCCTATTTAATGCACTTATATGCCAAGCACTGAACAACTGTACACTTTAGCTTCCAAAAACTTTGGGTTGAATCCACACAATGCCAGCCAAACTTCAGTCCTACTGCTATCAGTGGTTAAGGGCTCAGATCCCGAAAAATTAATTTAGCTCCTTGCAGATGTGTTTCCAATTGTTAGCAATCAAGTTGCTATCTTTGCCTTGCTCTCATTTAAACTTAAAAATTTCTAAGTCCTTAGTTGTAGCACTGGGTTTACTTTGTTGTAATTTATCATTTGCAATTTTTATTATCTCATCTTATAATCTCGCTAATCCACTGTTCCTATTATTACTATTTTATTGCATTTTATGTACTTTCTCTTATGTTATGACCTATGGTTACAACAATAAATTTACTTTACTTACCAATATCAATGATAGTTAAGTTAGCCATGATTTATTGATCCCACTGATTTCAAGAAGACTCAGCTATCACTGGAGAAGTCAATTGTGCTAGGACAAGTTGAAGGCAGAAGGTGGCAAGGAAGAACAACTACGGTGTTTCCCCAAAAATAAGACCTAGTACTACTTTTTGGTACTTGCTAAAATATAAGACCTACCCTGAAAATAAGACCTGGCTGTGTTTATTCCCAGGGCCAGTGGGGAACGTAAAGAGCCTTTTTAAACTTTATTTTTCAACTTAACTCTAACTTGATGCACTGCGTGGAGGAAACATGCTTATGCAGCAGCGGAGGGAGCAGAGCCGCAGAAGCCGATGCTTCCTCTATAGCGCCGGCTCCTGTCACAGGCGGAGTGATACCAAATGTACCAAATGTACATGCATTCATGCTGTTGTACATGAATAAGTGTGGATTGTTGTACACATTAAAAATAAAAAATAAGACCTACCCCAAAAATAAGTGTGTTTTTGTGAGCCAAAAAAAATGTAAGACAGTGTCTTCTTTTCGGGGAAACACAGTATGAAATGAGTTAACTCCCATCAAGGAAGCCGCAGCCTGGAATTGCAAGTGCTGAGCAGGTGCCACTGATTTGAGAGAGATTTCATTCACCGGGTCATCACGTTGGATTCAGTGACACAGAACAATGGCAAAGCTTAGTGAATCAGATCCAAACCATTTCTCCAAAGGAAGCGTGAATATGTGGCCGCAGCTGCTGCACACCGTCGCTGGGCACACCATTCAACTGCAACACTGGGTCTCTCAGGAGTTATTGCAGATCAAACACGCTGCCCCGCTGCAAAAACGGGTGGGGGTGCACAGCCCACACCCACCCATTTCCTTGACTTCGAACTGACACAATGGCCAAGCCTGCAGCACCCGAGCGAGCATGGGAAGAGTGTGGCGGCAAAGACGGCCTCCATGCGCCCCTCAGCCTCAAATACAGCTCAGGATATGATCTCAGCCAACCAAACACTTCCCTCGCCTTGCGAGGAGGAGCCACTGAGGCATTGCCTGGATTTGGCGGAAGGTGGCAGTGCCTCACCCTTCCCTGTCCCCCAGTACCTGCCCGACGATCCTCCCCCATCCTGGAGGTCACCACCAGAGCAAAACGAACCTCCCTGGCTGGCAGAGCAGAAGGCAGGCTCTCTGAAGGGGGAATCCGGGTCAACGTTGGGAAGCTTTTCTGACATCACAGGGGGGACTCCGTCTTTCTTGGGGCTGGCCAGGCAACATCTACTAGCCCGAGGGTTCCACCCTGAACGACACGAGAGGCGATCCACTTTTAAAAGCACCACAAAAGTTTAGAAGTATTTAATAAATGCCAGTTGCGGCAGAGTTCACAACTAATACATGTTGAGCGAGGAGTTAGGAAAGGTAAATGCAAATATGCCTATTAGTTATGCTATTGTTAGTGTATCCTGCACGCAACAAAACATGGAAAAGGAGTCAGCAGGATTAGCTACTCGGTACACATTATCACTGTACAGAATATTAATTTAAATCTTTTGGCAACACTTAAGTGCTGCTTTTCCTTGTTACTGCTCTGCCCACACCGAGTATTCAGTATGGCACAGTTCTAGCTTAGCACAAACGTTTCCTCAAACCATACCCTGCTGTTGGCATAGCACGGTAATGCCAATGAGCCCAAAATCGCTGTGAAACGGGGGCATGGTGGCTCTGAGGGGCCGCTCTGATGCTGCGCAGGTTTGCCGAAAGAGTCATCTCAGCTCCTTGTTGATGATAAAGGGGTGCTTCGAAATGCAGAGCTCCGTTTCTCCCAACTAGATTCAACCAGCACCCCGCATTTCAGGATCGTAAGAAGCAGCAGGACTCTCACACTCCCACTTGCAAGCCCGCAGATCAATTTTGCCATTTAGACTTCAGTCAGCCAGCCTTCTTAGAATCTGTCAGCATGAATTCTGATTTGTGCGAAAGCAGCCAGGTCTTTAGGGGCCAGAACGCTTCTCGAAAGGAGGCCCCAGAACCATCGCCACATCCAGACGATGTCATGGCCCCCTCCTTTTTCTGTGCCATATAATGGCTTTGTGCATGCCTGAGTATGCACACGCACGCACGCACACTCAAGCAATGGTGTTGGTCCACCTGATCCGCTTGCACAGACCTGGGTCAACCCACAGGCTTTAGGCAGCCTGGCAAACTGCACTCCCGGCCTTTCCAAGTGGACAGTGTGTCCATTCTAGATGCATTTCTGTTAGCAGAGCAGCGTTTCGGCTATCGCTTCAGAGAGACGCATGGTGAGACTTTGGTTATGCTATCATATCTGAACTGTGCAGCGCTATGCATGTAAAAATGTGACAGATTGCTCTTTGCAGCCCTTCATTTCTTTTGTCGCTCTGTTTAAGAGCAGCCCATCTCCAGCTCTTTCAGGGATGCATTATCCAAAATGCATCCTCATTATCTAGAAGCATTGGAGCTCCTTGGCCAAAAAAGCATTCTCTCTCGATAAGAACAGTCTCTTACCCTAAGGCGGCTTCAGAAAATGAGGAAACACAATAAACAGACATGAACAGAGGAAGAGCGTCTTGGCGCAAATCACACCTCCCCCCCCTCCCAGTATTATTCCAGAAATATATTCTATACAAAAGGTCTCCAAGTACAGACATTTCACAGGTTTTCAGAGAATGTGTTGACATACGGAGATTTACAAACTCAACTCCGGAATTAAGGTTTGTAAATTGATTGCCAGAAGGAGAACTGGCAAGTACCAGATCCCTTCCACATTCCAAAACCCAAAGCTACTTCACTAAAATGGATGCCAGTGAAAAACCAGTCGAATCCCTGGCCCCATGCTTCAGTCGGTTTTGAAAATTCGGAAAGCAGAAGAATCTGTTAGTCTTCAAATGCCTGCCTGGATGTAGGTCACGGCTTTGGTATCAACCACTTGGCAATAACGTCTGTGGATATGAAGGACCAGAGCGAGTTGCTGAAACACCATTGCTGGGCAGTGGTTCATAGGCCTTATGTGGGTTAAAGGCCTTTGGGAGTGTTTCTGGTCTATTTCTGGTGGCTGCTGTACCAAAAGCACGAGCGGGAACACGAAGGCACCCTGGCATCACACCACCTGCAACCCTCTGTCGTGCCCATCCAGCTGCACCTTCAGCTTGTGAAGCTCCTCGATCTCCCGGTTGTGGCGCTCCGTCTTGTGGCGGACGAGGGAGCGGTAGAAATGGATGGTGAAGACCACAAAGATGATCCCCACAGGGACCATGATGATGGTGGAGATGAGGGCCGCCTGCCAGCCCGTGTGCTGGCTGGTGCTCGGTGTGCCGGTGGTGTTGCTGCTGAGCATGGCATCCACGGGCAGGAATTTGATCCAGCAAAGAAGCACGACCTCGGCGAGGAAGAGGAGGATGCCCAGGACAGTGGAGAAGCCCCAGGCCAGCTCAATGTACGGGTGCATGCGCTCATGGGGGGACTCGCTGATGGAGTTCAGGTTGTGGATGTTGCTCACGGCCTCCACGTTGGGCAGGATGCAAGTGCTGATGAGGAGGGCGAAGAGGTGGACCGCGACCAAGACCGTGGTGCAGGCACTGAAGGCGATCAGCAGCATCTGAGGGTACTGGTACTGCATCTCCAGCTGGACCTCGACCATCGCCACCTGGAAAACAACACCGGCACCGGTTAACACAGGTTGGCTAGCGCGGCATTCACTCACACCGTGGGGGGCCTGGATGGCATGAAAAGGGGGATTGGATAAATTCATGTGGGATGTGCCCGGCAGCAGCAGAGCGGTTCTGTGGGGTGAAGGTTGACTGTCTGCAATCTGTTATGAGCACTTCGTCATAAATGCTCCAGCAAAATGTTGAAGCGTGGAACACTTGGGGGCGACATTCCAGGCAGCCCGACGTGCCCCTTTCCAGGATGTTCTATTCCACTGTTTTCTACACACACTCGCCCCCCTCCCCAGAGGGTTTTCCAACTTCCAACAGCAATGGGGGGTGGGAAGGAAACCCCTTCACTGCTTCTTCAGTGCAATAATCCCTAAATCAGACCCAGAAGCAGCCTGTGGTACTGAAGGTTAAAAAAAGCGAGAAAGAAAACCCTTCCCTTTCCTGAACAGTGGGAGAAAGGGAAGCCCTTCCTTCCTGCTTCAGAGCCAAACCAGAGAAGAGCCTTTAGCTGCCAAGTCAGAAAGCTGTGTCCATCCTCACCAATCGGTAAGGTGTACACCTGCAGTCTACATCTCTGACAGCAGGGAGAAACTATCATAATGAAATGTTCCTCAGTACAAAAAAGAAAAAAAAAAGCCAGACAGCCCTCTGCACATAGAAAACTAATCAGGAAGTTGGCTTAAGTTGGGCTAGCCACCTTACTGCTATGCTAGTTTTCCAGACGCGAGGATTTCTTTTTCAGGTAGAGGCAAGGCTAGTGGGAAGCATAGATTGTGGTGGAGTTCCAGGCAGAACCCAGAGTTTGCTTTCAGTGCACAGTGTTACAGGGAGAACCAAGAGGCCAAATTTACTCTGTATTAACTAGGCACGCACTTGAAAACACTGTCTAAAAAACTCTGCAATACGCAGACGCCATGGCCGGGGTGGTGGGGTGGGGGAGGTTTCCTAAGGCGAAAACTCTGAGCGCCTTTTCACCAAGAGTGCAGGAGAGATCCTCATGAGCAACTGGGTGACTGTTGCACTTGCAAGGAGGTCAACTTTAAAAATGCAAAATGGCCGCCAGCCCAGCAGGTGATCCCACAGCATCCCCTCCAGCCTAAGCCCTGCTCTGTCCTACTGCGCATCAGCACTTGCTCTCCCAGATTTCCATGGGAGAGCGAGGTGCACGGCAATCTCCAGGTTGTCCGCTTCCAATCTGATGTTGGCCTGATTCTGGAAGGCCTTTGCTTCTTGCCAGCACAAACCGGAAACTGTCTTTCTTGTGGTTTTACAAGCCTTTTGCAAAAGGGCTTCCCCTTTTTTTAACCGCTTCCTGAGATGTGACATAGGTGGCAAAAGTAGAATTGCTGCATTAGCACCTGGTTGGCAGACGCAAACTATAAATGGGCTCTTGCAGAATTTACTGCTCCACCATTAAGGGAAATGGTTCCTAGATCACAGGGAGTTTTACAGCTCACAAAAGCTTTTAAACTTTGCTCTAAAACATACCATGGCAAACCCAGAAAGCAGCGCAGAGGTCCGGCTGGAGGCTTTCAGCTTGGCTCTGCTCAGGTACAACTTCCGCCATGAAAGGGCCTGAACGGAATGATGGTTGGATGTGACCAGCTCCAGGTAACTGCGGCGGACCCAGTCCCGATAGTCCATGCCTTTGACGGTCGGCTCAGTGCAGCAGGCAGCAGCAGGCGGGTCCACGGGGACGTTTAATTCAGAACTCATGATGGAATACAACCTAGGGAGGGAGGAAAAGCCACGCGAGCACAGCTTTTGAAAAATCATTCTCACATACCCCATTCCGAAGAAACAAGTCTGCATTAGGCACTACAGAAAAGGTTTTTTTAAAGTATCCTTGCCCACAGGCCTGTAATCAAACTAATAAGCCGAAAAGAGACAAAAGGAGAATTGAACTTTGCATGAAGTGAGCGAGTGAGCAAAGGAAGCTATGGAGGAGTGAAATAACGCAAACATCGGTTGAAGAGCAGCAAAAGCATTTTTGGAGCCAGGAACTGCCATCTGACAGAACGTGTGACTTCTTCAGAACTTCTCAGAGCAAGACAAAGAATGAGCTGGCTCCCGATTCAAAGGAAGACAGTTCCACACACACAGAAACACAAGGGAGACGACAGGGAGATAAGAAATGCCACAGCCGAGAGTGTGTTTAATAAAGCAGATAAGCAGAGGCAAATTCAGGAAGAGGCGGAAAGGTGAAGGCAGCAACCCAGATATGGTGGGGGTTAAGATGAGACGGAAGGGCCCCTCTGTTGGCAGGGCGGCATGCCCGCTCCCCGGCCAGGGACCTGACTATGCCCGTGCAAAGCTTTGTGGGCACAGGCTTACAGCCCCCAGTATTTCCACCACTGGTGGGCCCCAACATGGGGTGTTCCATGTCGGGTCAAAGGCAGCCCTGCATGTGCTGGTCTGCAAGCCCCTTCATTCCCAGGAGGCCCCAGAGTGGGGCTCATCGACGCCACCCCAGCCCTGACGTGGGTAAGCTTTCCTTGCCGTGCTGGAATGCGTTGTGCAACTTCTGTGTGGCTTTAGAACAGGCCTAAAGGCTGCAGCTCTCCAGTCTTAAGAAGCTGCGGTTGCCTTAGTTGTGGTGGCTCCCAAAGGGAGACCCTAAAAAGGTAAAGGTTTCCCCTTGACGTTAAGTCCAGTCATGGCTGACTCTTGGGGGCGGTGCTCATCTCCGTTTCCTGGCCGAGGGAGCCAGTGCTTGTCCGCAGACGGTCTCCATGGTCACGGGGCTGGCATGACTAAACACCGAGGTGCAGAAACGCTGTTACCTGCCCACCGAAGTGACACCTTTTTATCTACTTGCATTTGCATGCTTTCAAACTGCAAGGTTGGCAGGAGCTGGGACGGAGCAATGGGGACTCGCCCCGTTGTGCAGATTCGAACCGGCGACCTTTCGATCAACCAGCCCAGCAGCACAGCGGTTTAACCCACTGCACCACCTGCAGTCCCTTCAAGGGAGACCTTGGGTGGCTTCAAGTGTTCAGGAGGGCCTTTCTCTCAGCTGGTCAGGTGGGAGACGAACAGGGAGATGTCCCACGAGGAACCTGACTGGCTAGCTAGGAGATTTTCCAGAATGCTAGGGCTAGGGAAGGCTGAAGACAGAAAAAGCAGAGGAAGACCGTCTAGGAGACAGACAGACACCATAAAAGAAGCCCCAGCCTTGAGCTCAGGAGAGCTGAGCAGGACTGTCCTGGACAGGGCACAGGGGAGTGCATTCACTCCTAGGGTCACCCTAAGTCAGAGACAACGTGACACACATAAGAGAGGGTGAAGTCTGTTGCAGGCCAATCTTACGCCCTCTTAGGCAGCATCAAGCAGGACTTTTCCTTGTCCGAATCCAAGGGTGGAGATGAGCTTCAAGCATGGATCCCCCAAGGCGGCGCAGAAAGACATCTGTTGCCTCTCTGAGGCTGTCAGATCGACCTCCCAGAAGTGGGCCTGGGGCCTCCATGAGGTGAGGTCTCCCGAGGGCATGCCAGGCTGCCTCCTGCCCTCTCTGTCTGCTGGCTATGTGGCTGTTTCGCTGGCTTGCAGGACAGAAAGCAAAGGCAGCCCAAAGGGGCCTCTGATTCTTGCTAGAACGGCAGCATTCCAGCATTGATGCTGCATGTGGTGGTGGACGTGGGATCGCCCCACGAAGGAGGAGGATCCCTGCAGGCTGGATAAAGAGAAGGAACCACCAAGCAAACAAGTTTCCCGCCGGAGCAGCGGGAACCAACCACTTTGCTCAGACACGTGACCCACCCCTAGTTAGGGCTGCTCTGCCTGAGAACAGACTGAAAATGGTACCAACTGAATCCTGTGAATGGAAACACATAGAAAGGTAACAGGTTCAAAGCATGGAAAAACATACATAGAAAAGCTCAAAACGAGTAATAAACCACAACTTGGATGATGTGCCCACGCGTGTCATCCATTAACCTGTTCCATTCAGTGGCATACAAGTGACAGAAATAAAACCTAAAAATGGGACAAATATACAATACCCCAATATCAAGGCGTATCTTTAGTAGCAACCCAGTGGTGCCATGACCCATTGGGCAGCTTTGGGCAGAGAGCCAGCAAGGCATGCTGGTAAGTGTGTGGGGCTGGGGCTCGGGAGATCTGGGTTCTAGTCCCCATGCAGCCATGGGGCTCAGTAGGTGACTCTGGGCCAGTCACAGACTCTCAGCCTAACCTACTTTGCAGGGCTGTTGTTGCAAGGATAAGATTGAGAGGACAAGAATGATGTAAGCCCCCTTGAGCTCCCTGAAAGGAAAAAGGCAAGATTTAAATGTAATAAACAAATCAGTAGCTTTGCCTGCTTCTTTGTGTGCTTCTGACTAGTGATGGGCAGAAAGCAGATCTCCAGATGTTTTGGACCTCAACTCCCAGCATTCATGGCCACTGGACATGCCGGCCGGAGCTTCTGGGAGCTGAAGTCCCCAGTACTTCAGTCCATGAATGCTTTAGGCAGCTGCGGAAGACAATATTGTTCTGCTGAACAAATAGTTAATGTGGTTGTCTGTTTTAGTCATTAATCTCTCATTTAAAAATAAGTTTTATATTTTGGTATTTTCATGTATTTTTAGCTGTCTTTTTTTATTATTCATTGCCTCAAGCACATATATGGAGGAGCAATTCAAAGTATTTTAAATAGATAAATTAATTTCTGTTCCTTCCTCACCTCCCCCAACATCCTTACCAATATTTCCAGATGTTTTCCATCTGTATTTACTTGGATGTTGGATCATTAGCTCAAACGCAAGACAGAGGAGGAGGAAATAACTGTATTTTTGCCTGAATCACCACTTCTGCTTTCTCTTTCAATTTCTTGCATCATCCACATTTTACACTTTATATCCTGCCCCTTTTCTTCTTGTGAGGAACCCAAGGTGACTGGCATAACTCAATTTTTATCCTCATAACAACAACCCTGTGAGGTAGGCTGGGTGGAGAGTCTGCGGCCCAGCAGGGCCACATGGGGCCTAGAACCTGGCTCTCAGGTCCCCCAGATCAGTGCTCTCCCCACCGCTCCCCAATCTGAGCATTACCTTTTATTCTTCCCATTCTTTTTTAGATCAGGTTTTTGCTCTGCTCATATACCAGCACAGAAAGTACATAGGAAAGCTGCAACCATCCCACAGAATTAAACATAGCAAAACATTGTCAAAGTAGAGACTAAAGTCACATTAATACTATGTTTGAACTACTGAACTTCTGTGAAGTGTTGGAGATGTATAAAATATTAAAATACTAAATGTTACAGCAGTCAATGCAAGGCACCATGTGCATTTCAATGAGAGTTTTAGTAATGTTGATAGATGGGGCATGTTACTGTCATTTTAGCAGAGAAAGAGAATTTGAACCAGCAGAGCATCTGCTGAAGAAAAAATACCCAAGAGATAAAAGATAAAACCTAAACTCTCAGGCTGTTGAGATAACTGACGCTACTGAAAGAGCAGGCAAAAGCATGATTAGGGGAAAGCACAAGATTGTCTTCTGTATCTTGATTTTGAAAAAAATGATCCCGCATATAAGTTGATGCAGCTAAAAGAACTATTTGCGTGGTGGCAGCAGGGAGCATGTTGGAAATCCAGGTTCTAGTCCCGGCTTAGTCACAAAGCTCATGGGTGACTTTGGGCCAGTTTTTGACTCTCAGCCTAACCCACCCTGCAAGGCTGTCATGTGGATAAAATGGAGAGGAGGGGGTTATGTAATCTGCCTTGAGTTCCTTGTAAGAGGAAGAAAGGCAGGGTACAAATGGAACGGAAGAGGAGGAGGAGAAAGAAGGAACAGGTAGGTAGATTGGGAAATCCAGTTCCTAATGCAGGGTAAAAAGAATGAAGAAAATGAGCTTAGAGGAACCCTGACTGAAAAAAGCAACTGAGAAGAAAGAACTGTGCACAAAGACCTTAAAAGAACAGGCTGTAAGAGAGGAGTGAAACCAAGAATGGAGAGTGCCACCCAATCCAAAAGAACAAAGAGAACCAAGAAGCAGACAACTCAGCTGCACTAAAATGATTGATAAGGGAGATTAAGAATGAGAAAAGGACCCTCATGGATTCTTCTGGATTTTATCCAGGACACTTAGTAAACTGGTGCTCTGAAAAGCCAGAATGAAAATGATCAAGAGAAGAATTAGAAGGGAAGAGGGATGCACAGAGAATAAATATGCTGCTCAAATAGATTGGAGAAGAAAGAGAAAAGAAACAGGGCAATTGTGAAGGAAGAGGTGAGGATCAAAGGGAGGCAACTTTAGCACCTGGGGGAAGAACAGTCGAAGGCAACAAGGTCCAGTGCAAAATGAAAAAAAGGTCTGTGAAAAGAGGCCCATTCAGCTGTCTGAACAGTCGGTGCCAGGCTCAAAAGGAGATTGGCACAAACCTTTTCTGGAGGAACATCTCAAAACGTGCTCATGGGAAGAGACCTGACAGATCTGACTCAAGTGCACCTGCTCTGGCATCCTGCTTTCCACCAAAGCCAAGCAGAAGATGCTCCTGGGAAGGCCTCTTCGCAGCTGAATCCACATCTGCACCAGCTCGAGCACCAAAGGCCTCTTCGGCTATCACGGCCAGGAGCCCATCCTGCATCGCGCTTCCCACCCACTCCCTCCGCACCTGCGTAATGGTAGAAATCTCTGGCAAGGTTCCCCTCGGGGACGTCTTCCTTCACCATTAAAAGGCCCCCAATAAACTTGCCTTTCCCCCTAGGGAAAGTGTCTCTACTCCCTGA